AAAATTATTTACTGCTTACTTACCGTAGCGAAATTTCTAAAAAAACTAACCTATAGAAGCAATAACATAACCAATATCATAATCTCATATTCAAACATTCAGAATAACAATTTTCTCTTTTATCTAGCTACTGGTATCCATGGGAGTCCATAGGGATATCCCTATTATGCGTGAACTTTTATTCAATATTTTTCACTAATCGGTCATCCTCATACCTCGTCCAGTATGAGCACCAAAAAATTACCATTCCTCAACCCCCATCTGGTATGAGGGTAAAACAGGCCGTCTCCATACCTCGTCCGATATGAGCACCAAAATACCAATCCTCAATACCCTGTCTAGTATGAGGCAACATTCACGGTAGGGTTTCCTATGTACCCGGTCCATCCACCATCTCTCAAGATATCCAGTAAGGCTACCATTCATCCACTCACTTAACCAAGGAATTTTCCGTTTACATTTAATTTTTAGATTCATAATTTAACTATAAATCACGCAAAACAAGCAATACATGCATCAAGAAAATACAACTGAATCATCTTACAAATTCCAGTGTATTACCACACATTCGAAACTGTAGAATCAAATAATCAGTTAAAACATGACAAATAATAATAAATAATCAGTTTTGGCTCCATCAGTAACCTGTAATTACTTATGAATATTTTCTAAATTACGCAAAATACCATATTGTTTATAATTAAGTTTAAATTCCATAACAAGGAATAAAGTGAGAGATTCTTACTCGAATCGATGTCCGAAATACTAAGCTTTCAGCTGCGCCTACTGGCGGTCTTCGAGTTCTTCGAATTTTTCTTCGGAGATTAAAACACGCTCCAAATATCTAGAAATACCTCATAAAACTTCAAATTGGTGTTAGAAACCTTTTTTGGCTAATTTTGGGATTCTGGCGCGGCGGTGCCACCGTGCTCCGGCGTTGGCACTGTCGCCCGCGACCGCAGTTTTCCCCGGGCTGACCATTTTTGGCCAATTTTAGTCGACTTTGTACTCATCCCTGCGAGAAAATACGTTAAGGGGCATCAGTTGGCTGAAAAAAGTCAAAAAACAAAGGCTTACTGATGCGAGGTTTTCTGGTGCGGCGGCTCCACCAGCTCACCTTCGCGGTTGGATATTTTTTTCTATCAACCTGTGGGAAACAAAATGATGAATACAATGGTGGAAAAATTGCATAAAACGGAAATCGAGAAGGGCCTCATCAGAGACAATTTTTTATTTTTTTTGTGGCAGTGCTGCCGGATTTTACCTGCAGTTTTCAACTCATCTGCTAGTATTTTAGCTCCGATTTGGCTATGGGGGTGTTCAAAATTAAATTTCGAGTGACTAGGAGAACTTTTATCTTTTTTAGCGATCGGAGATGGCTCCGGCACGGCGGCGGGCGTCGGTCAGCTCCCTTCCCGGTGACTGATTCTTCTTCTCCGGCAGGGGAGGGGGGTGGGGGGGCTGGGGCTGGGGCTAGCGTCTAGGGTTAGGATTTGGTGTGAAGTGAGACATTTATATCTGTCTCTTTTTAATCTGGGTCGTCCATCGCGTTTGATCTAGACTGTTCGATCGCGTTTAAATAAGAAATAAATGTAAATCGTTAATCACAATTTGATTTGGACCATATGATTACGTTTAAAGAGAGAATGAATCTGCACTGTTCATCGCATTTAATCGCGACCGTTTGATCGCACCTGAGGAGGGAACGGATCTGGACCGTATAGGCGCGAAGGAACAAATCTAGATCATCCGATCACGGGCATGCGGATCGCTAGCGTGGCCTCCCGCGTGGCACCGCGTCAGTGTACCTTGCCACACGGCACGCTCCGATTTGTCGGGACTGCTGACTGGGCGGTCCTACGTGACATATTTTTTTTAAATTACGTTTTGACCCCTAATTTTCGATTTTTCTTTCAAAAACACATCAGAACCCAAAATTTCACTCATTTTTTCTAAAATTATTTTCAATTTCATTCTCAACCTATTTTTCTTAATTTTTACATTAATTAAAATATTCATAAATTTAAAAATTATATTTTATACATTAATTTCAAATATTTTAAAATTAATTCCGAGTATTACATGTAAATTCTAATTCTGTTATTTCACTTCTGCATTCTATTTATAATTTATTCCTTTTAATGTTTCGAGTCGTCACATCAATGTCTTGAAGAACATCATCTTTTATGATTCTAAGTTTATTTTAGTGGCATCAATGTCTTGAACAATGGTCTTTTTAATAAGTTATATATTTCTATTGATTTATATATTTTTTTATTAAGTCTTTTAGTGTGATTTTTGCCATTGAGCCAAACAAGTTTGATTATTTTTTTCTTATTAATTCAATTAAAACATATAAATATTTTAAACTTATTCATTTCAAAGTTTAGGGAGTATATAAAACTATATCTTTATCTGATATATAATATTTTTTAAGTGTTAGATGAAACATAAATTTATTTGTAAGAAACTAAATCAAAACTATATTTTATATTTGTATTCTTTATAACCAGACATTTTAGATGAGCACCCAAACAAATTCATATTGATAATGGCACCAAATTTACAAACAATAATTTCAAACTATTCTAGCAGCAACATAGTAGTATTTTGACACTTGAAAAACCACAATAACTGTTTAGTAATTTCTTTGGATTAAGTGCACACGGTATCATTTTTTATCTTTGAATAAAAGGCTAATTAAATCAACTTTATTAATTATAAAATTATAATAAAAATGCTTATTACATAATTTTGATTAAAAAAAAGATTATATTACATGATTTATATTTTGTTATTTAAATAATTAATATTATTTTTAAAAGGTACCAGAACCCATTGAGGCCCAAATCGATAATTTCTTTTTTTTTTTTTTTAAAAAAAGAAAATTCTCCAGGCCCAAATATATGTAATTGAGGATTTACAAATAATGTTTTAGTATAAAAAAAAAATTTAAAACGGAGATCTGTATATATCAACATATCAATTTTCGAGATTTAACATTTGTTATAATTTAATTGTTACTATTTGTCTCTTTTAAACATCTAATTTTCTTCAATTTTTTGATAAAAGAAACTAAAATAGTTCATAAATGTTGAGATGCTTTTAAAACTAAATAGAAAATAACTTTAGTAAATTAATTAAATTAATAAGAATGGAAAATTTGTTTTTATTATCATTAATTTATTAATTTAATTAATAGTAAAATTCAAAAAAGTAACTTTAATAAATTAATAAAAATATCAAATTTGTTTTTATTGTTATTAATTTATTGATTTGGTTAATTAGTAAAAACAATTTTTTTTGAAGCCTTCTAAAAAAAAAATTAAAATATGACTTAATTATTTTAAGATTAAAATAAACTTTTAAAACAAGTAAAAAAAAAAGCTAAATATTAAATTATAATGAAAAAATATATTAAAAATAAATTTATATTAAGTGTTAAATTTTGTAAATTAATTTAAGTAAATTTCATAGAAATTTGGTTCGTCTTTGGGTTTTCAATTCAGCATTAATTGAAACCTTTATTGGGGCTGCGTTCACTCAACTGAAACCCTTACGAGCTTGAACTTGATGTGGACTCTGATTGACAAATACCTAGTTTTTATAGAAAAGCATTTAAGGTGAGCCCCTGGTCAATGCAATATATACAACATACTTACACACACACACACACAATATATATATATATATATGTTATAGTAAAAATTGTTAAATTAATTACTAAAGTTTAACAGTTTGATCCTGATAATATTTTTTTGTTAATTTTATAATTCAAGTTTTAGATAATTACGTAATGTTGGAATGTTTTGTTTTTTTAAAAAAAAATCATTTTAAATTTTAAAAAAAATTTGGGCTACTGTTTAAACTTTTCTTAAAAAATAAATAAAAATAAAAATTTTAAAATATATATAAAATATTAAAAATCAAATTATAATAATAGTCAAACTTTGATAATTAATTCAATTATTTTTTTTTTCTACATTATATATATATATATAATATTAGTAATTTGAATAAATTCCAAAAGTAAAAAGTATAATTTACCATAATTAAGACTTTAAAAAAATTGTTAAAACTATTAAAATATTTAAAATTGTTAAAACCATGATCTTCCCTGGATGTTGTCTAAAATTTTCTCAAGTGTAATTTACTTTCTTACTTTGTTTTCTTTGAATCAATCTTACACGTGCTCATTTTTGGAGCATATATATTTAATGTTTTCAAACTAATCATAATAACAATCTAAATTTAATTATATTTTTGAAACATATTTTCCATTTCATGTCGATACAACAAGGTTTACGGGAGACTTACGATTAGGAAAGCGAAATTCACACGAAAGACCACCTGGGACAAGTCATAACATTATGTAGTAGGACCGTGTTTGGCTGTGTGCTTTTTAAAATTCTACTTCATTAATATATTTTTAAAATTAAAATGGGAGAAACCTGATCATCTCTATATTTCCCTTCGACCAACTAAATATTCATGTATTTATGTATGTAAAACATTCGTACATGTAGAATACATACGTAGCGTATTTGCACTCGTGCTACATAGTGTATATGAACTGAATATTCGCACAGTACATATATGCAAGTGTCTTTAAGTATCATATATACACTTACAGTGAATCTATGTAAGGTGCAGATACCAAAGTTTTTATATGATTAATGAACTAAGAAATGTTTAATTAATTATTTTGTATTAAATTTTTAGTTTCTATTTATGCATCCAACAAACGCAGTCTTGCCTTCGAGACGTCTTACGTTTGGACACTAACACGCATGTGGGGTTTGATTAAGCAGGGCAACTGATCTTCAATGAATTGCGTTTGACTTTTGCGTCTAGCTGCTCTTTGACCTTTCTTCTTACATTAATCATAAACTAAATTCTTACGTTAAAAAATAAGAAAAAAACGTGTAATCACTTCAGTCAACCCGAGCGTCAACACGCTCAATTCTTGCACAACACACTTTTTATCTCTCTGTCGTGCTTGTTCAATTTCAGTGACGTTAATATAATAGAAAAACACGAATAACCCAAATATTTGTTCAAACTCTCTCCAAAGATCAAAATCATTCATGGGTATCATCAAGCAATCTACATAAACCAACATCTTTATCGTCTTCTTCCTCTGTTCCCACCAGGTCCCGAAATAATCTTCAAGTCCAGGTGAACCAAAACTCACGTGTTCCCACCTTCGGCTTCTTCTGTGTCTTTTTCACTTTTCATGGACCTGGCTTTGGATCAATCTTAGAGAGGCATGGCCAGGAGCTTCCTTCAAAATCTTCTGAAACCCTTCAAGATCAGTTCCAGCAAAGGTAATAATCCAAAACCCAATTCTTTTTATTTGGCGAATTTGGTCGTCTGCCGCTTTCTAATAATGGTAGAGGTTCTCCGCTCTGTTATTTGATTGACCAGAGGGACAGAATTTGGAGGATTTGGAAAAGATAGCTGCACAAGAACAGAAGATTTTCCCTTTTGAGACGTTGATTTCTGCTACCAAAAATTTTCACCCTGCTCACAAGCTCGGGGAAGGCGGCTTCGGACCAGTCTACAAGGTAAGATCTTTCTGTAATTTGATTCATCCAGAAATTAACTTCTGTTTGGCCGCTGAGGGAATTCAATGCTAGTATTGGAGAAGATTTGGGACCTACTTTTTTTTAAAATTTTTTCTGAAAATAAAAAATATTTATCACATCCTGAATATTCGTTTAAAGCAGTTAATTTTAGGTATAGAAGTTTGAAAATGGATCAAGCTAATGGGTTTGGTAAAAGATGAACAACTCAACTCTTTCCCAGCTCAGTCGGGAACTGTACAGAGACCCACTTGAAACCAATTTACTTTTTATTTCCCTCAATTTTTTCACAGCTGAAACAGCTATTCCACTCATACATGCTTGTTTTTCTTTCTCTTTTATTTCATAGTAATTTAATGGGACGATAGGCAGATGATGATATGTTTTACATGTATGTTGTTCCTTATATACCTCCTCAAAAAGGTAGCGAACATGTAGTCTTCTATTTTGACATTGCATTTGTTAGTCTGAAAATTGATTAGATCCTCTTATGTCTTTTTTAAAAAAAAAAATAAAAAGACTGAGAAGGGGATAAAGGATGTTGCTTACTTGTCAAATGTTTTCTTTGCAGGGAAAATTAGATGATGGGAGAGAAATTGCAGTGAAAAAGTTGTCACATAGCTCAAAGCAGGGAAGGACTGAGTTCTTTAATGAGGCCAAGTTGTTGGCACGGGTCCAGCACCGCAATGTTGTCAATCTGCTGGGTTATTGTGCACATGGTTCGGAGAAACTGTTGGTCTACGAGTACGTCATTAACGAGAGCCTTGACAAGTTTCTCTTCAGTAAGTTCTTGTCGAATTCCTCATTATCCTTGGCATTGTTTTCTGATTGTCACTGTCTTTCACTCTCAACTATAACTGGACTGCATTTTCCATCAGAATAAGTTATAATTGAGTAAGATTGGAGCTTGTCTAGCTGTTCCAGGTCATATTAATAGATCTGCTTGCTAATGGTTAAGAGTTTGTTGCTCAATATGGGCTGCTTTTGGTGCTTTCCCGATTTTTCGTGGGACTTACTTGTAGCCTTCAGGATCTTATTTTTCTTTTTGAGAAACAGCTTAAGAAAATGTCTTGGAGAATTAGAAAGAGTTGTGAATTTCTTTTTTGTTTTTGTTATCTATCTTGTGATGACTATCAAAAAACTTAACAAAAACCCAGTTTTTTCAATGTTTTGGAAGCCCCAAAAGGTTAAAAGAGAAGTTTTGATGCCACTGTTTAAGTGGCACTGCACCATTTTTTCTAGTTATCTGCATCTCTTTTTTACTTAAAATGTTGTAGGCGATGTGGGAGCAACTGCATCGATGTTTGACTAAACAAAGATAAATAGAATGATTCATTTGCACGAAATAGAACATGACTACGTGCATTTTTGACAACTGTGTTCTTTTTTTTTTCTACTAAAAAAATTGTAATTTTTAGGGAAAGAACGTAAAAAAGTAAAACAAAAATGGTTCCAAACATAAATTAAGGTAACTTTCTTTCGAAGGAAACCATTTTCTAGTAGAAAGGAATACGTAAATGTTTCACTAAACAAATGCTGGTTGGCGTAGTCGTAAAGAAAATGACAGCTAATTAAGATGCTTATCAGAAGCACGGCTATTATCTTTTAAAATTATCTAAGCTAGGATGAATTGGCAGTTTCTTGATGTGAATAGACATTAAAAAGGTAGGTAACCTAACTTTAAAATGATACGAACAGTTAAGATAATAGATATTATCCATGCAATGCATGACTTCGTGATAAGATATTATCCATGCGATGCATACTTTCAAACAGTGAGGTCCATTGTTGTATTCATAATCTGCAGCAAATTATGTCTGGCTTTACCTATTACAGTTGTGTCTAAAAGTTTATTATTCTATTTTTCCATCACAATACTTATCTTTTTGTATGGACATGGTGTTGAAGAATTAATTCATCACAAATTGAATGTGCTCAAGAAGTTGATTCATCAAAGTTGCAGAAAGAAGCTTAATCTTGCTTTATAGATTCTCATATCAGAAAATTTGAAGTGATTGAAAACTCTATAAGATGTCAATACAATAACTCCCTTAACCAATGACAGACCTCTGCATAATTAAAAAGATCTAACAATAAAGATTTGGTTGATTGTTTTGTGAAGATAATATTCCTCTAGTTTGTCAGAAATTCAGGATCTGCAGTGCCATTGAGTCTGTGTTCTATTGTCTAGTAGGAGATGGTTTGCACTTATATTCTTTTCTTTTGGGGTTGAAGCTGGCATATAGGAAGGGCTTTTGATGTTAATGTTTTCATATTTTGGCCAATAAATTGGCACCAAAAGATTCTTGTAACTTTATCCAGACGCATCAAATTGTTTTCTTTACCTTTTTCCCATAACGTTTTTTAAAGTAGCAATTGATACATTTATAAATATCAAACACAATTCAATAGAAAACAGCCTCCAAATGGGGATACTGGAGCACAGTCGGACTTGAAACCACAACCTCGTGTAAAGAAAAATACATGTCAATTATTGAATTAAGTAGTGGTTGATTTCCTGTAATGTTCTGAATGTTCCTTTTTCGTTCTTGGTTTAAAAACCTGTGGATTTGGACTCACCTAAAATCTCTCTTGACCTCCTCTATGCTCTGAAATTGACTTTGTATGGCTAAAGCAATTGAAATGTCCTAAATCATGCACAGGTGTATTGACTGATTCAAGCATTAACCAAATATTCTAGTGCTGACAGCTTAGCTTTAAAGAATTTTCAACTCAGTGTCTCTAACCATTAAGTTGATTAATATTTAGAATTAGGTAGATTGATAAAAAGAATAAATTAGTAAACAAAAAAGAAAAAAAAAACTGATGAGAGCTATTTTACTAATCAATATCTGTAGGTTGAATAAATTGGATTGACAGATATGATGCTTATGATGATTCTCATTGTGATGAATTATGATCTTTTTGTACAGAATCCAATCGAAGGAAGAGCTAAACTGGAAGAGAGGTTTGAAATAATCAGTGGCATTGCAAAGGGCTTGCTTTACCTCCACGAAGACTCGCATAATTGTATTATCCATCGGGATATTAAAGCCAGCAATATTTTACTTGACGAGAAATGGGTCCCTAATATTGCTGATTTTGGAATGGCCCGTCTTTTCCCAGAAGATAAGACTCATGTCAATACACGTGTAGCTGGTACCAAGTACGCTTTCCATTCGTAGTTTAAGTTTATTCATCAATCTGATCTATGCGTTTTGGACTCATGGCTTAATTAACATATGTTCATTTTTTTTTTTCAATTCTTGAAACCAGTGGATATATGGCACCGGAGTATGTCATGCACGGATATTTATCTGTAAAGGCAGACATTTTTAGCTTTGGCGTTTTGGTTCTGGAGTTGATCAGTGGCCAGAGGAACTCAACCTTCAGTTTAAGTTTAGAAGCAACAAATTTACTCGATTGGGTAAGATTATGGTCTGAGCTGTTCTTTACGTTTAGTAATATACATATATAAATACAAATATATCATTTTATTCTTTACCCAATATCAAAATTATCACATGGACTTTAGTCAAACTTAAGATTAGAGCTTGTTAACGTGTGTGGGTCAAAACCTTTATTCTTATGGTTACAGAGCAATTGTATTTTTCCTGCAAAACCCTCTTCATTTTTGTCCTTAGCAGAAGTATAATAATCATTTTGGACTTTTTAAACACAAATCAAAAGCATTAAAGAATTAGCGAAAAAAAAAGAGAGTTTATTTTCTAGAAGAAACTTAATCAGGACAAACACTGCCTTCTAGATCAGAATTCAAGATTCAAGCCTACAAGGAGTTTGGTAAAAAATGGTGAACAAATATAATATTACATATATTCACTGTACATTAGTCCATCCCAGATGGGATTTAGCTTAGTTTCTTCTTCGTCAAATGGAGCTTTTGTAACAGCATTATTTTCAACCTTAGAATATGTGAAATTTCAAAGTATTTTTTCATTAGAATTTTAATTCTTTTATTGAATCAATTGACAAAATTAATTACTGTTATGCTTATTATAATTGGCAGACATATAAGCTTTATAAGAAGGGCAGAAGCTTAGAGATAATGGACCCTGCATTAGCTGCATCGGAGTTTCCAGAAGAGCAAGTAGCATTGTGTATTCAAATAGGTTTGTTATGCACACAAGGTGATCCTCAGTTACGGCCTGGAATGCGTCGGGTAGTCGTAATGCTGTCTAAGAAACCTGGCAGTTTGGAAGAACCAACACGGCCTGGAATTCCAGGTTCCAGATATAGAAGGTCTCGTAGACCGGCAGCAATGTCCTCAGCCAGAACATCTGGGGAATCGAGTTCTAACGCATCGGATTCGAGTCTGACTGTAAATACTGCTACAGCTAGTGTTACAGCTACTGCTTCTACTTCAGCTCGTAAAAGTTCTCCTATATCAGACCCTTATGGAAAACGACCAATGCAGATTTAGTTAGTAGTATAGGATATTTTAGTTCTTTTATTTTTTGTATTATAGAATGGTGGGTAGTTTTTGCATTAAGGAGCTTGTAAATGAGAGGTGCAGGGGAACAACAATTTTTTTTTCGTTATAACTGAAAGAAAAGGCTTCTTTAAAAATACCTTTTTTTCTGTTTACTCGCATTTTTTGTAACATATTTTAGAATATAATGATTTTTTTAAAGATCAAACTCACTTGATGTGACGGTCCGTAATTCTCCAACAAAAAATTACGTCGCCAAACTCAATTAAATCAGAAATGTACAATATAAATTTAAATTAAAATACAGTATAAGCTATTCATCTTCTGTATAACATGTAACATAATTTACATTATGATATTACAAAATTTTGTTGAGTCCACAAATAAATTAAAACTCATTAGATGAAAATTAATACATGAAATTCTTGATTTGGTTTTATAAATTATCTTTCTTGGTCTGATCTGAAAAATGATTAGAATTTAAATAAGATGAGTAAAACAACGGGTTCAATAAGTATATCGAATAAACTACATCCTAGGCATGCGATGTACCAACATACAGCCAATCAGAAATATAAAACTTTTCTTTTCCTTTATCTTTGAAAACCATAAAATGCAGAGATATTTCAGTTTCTATATCATCTCTCATTGTTCTCTTAACTTTAACTAGTTTTTTCCGCTTACTATTTTCCTTTACTAGTTATCTCTCAAAATTCTTTTTTCTCATTATTTTCTCATTATCCCCCTAACTTCTTTCCTTTCTTAATTCCCTAAATGTAACCACTCATATGATACACTATTATCATATCACATCTGGTTTGTAAACCATACTCATCTATAAGTTTTATTCTAATCCATATTTATCCCACAAATTCACATACTAGAATTTCCTATGAAATTTCGGTCAAATTGGGACAGCCATAACCCCTCAGCGAGTATCCTCAATTCTCAATTTGCTCTAACACAATCATCAAATTAAAATTATTAAAATTTTAAAGTTTTCTAGGAGATTGAACGAGTGAATCTGTTATCCAATTAGTACCATTGTGGGATCAGAATTTGCACTATCACAAGGGGATGCACACACAGCCAAAATACATACAATGGTCACAGCAGTCTGTCGCCAGGTGACTTAGAACATAACACATACCACAACCACGTCTGGAAGGGTTTCCATCCAGCTAATGATAGAGTTCACCACGCTGTTGAATTTTAGCAATACCAATCTTAAACATATTAACTCTAAGTTTTCATTTCTTCCAAGTTTTTGTTTTGTTTTCTTTTTACTTCTATTCTAGTTAAGATTGATATTTTTATTTTTCCTAATAGACTAATTATATTTCCTAGAAACTTTGTACACTTTCTTAGTTAACCTTACTCTCTATCTCACACTATTCTAAATCTCTCAGTTTGTTTCTTTTTTATTCTTATAGAACTCAATAACTCCCCTTAATCCAACATTTTCCTGTTTATTATAATTTATTTAATTATTATTTTATTTATTATTTATGTTTTAATGCTTGTATTATTTTTAGTTTTTAATTTTATTAATTTTATTTAAAACCCTTTTTTTTTTAAGAATGCGTATTTCTTTTTGTTGATCTTATTTTATTTGTGAGAGTTATTTTATGTGTTCATGATCTTATTGATGAATATACACTATTATTAACATTCTACTAAGACTATTCAACTCGTCATACGATCAACCATCAACCATCATATAGTATTTAAAATATGCAATCTTCATTCAACAATTAAGCAGCAAGCAAATGACAAATTAAAATATTCAGTATCACTATTTTTTAATTTCTTCCACTTACTTAATTATCAATTCCGATTCCTTAATTTTATAAACCTTACTCAAAACTAAATTAGATTTTTGTTTGAAAATATTTTTGAAAGCATGCGAATATAGCTTCAGGATAGCTACTAGATATACTTAAAGACTTTGGGGCTAAACGATTTCGATTTGAGTTCAAATATCATCCAAATATTAACAAAAAAATACACAACAACTGAGCCTTCTCGAGTCAGCGACAAACCCAAGAGTTTTATGCAATCATATTGAATGCTCATCTCGTTTCTACAACTATTCTAGTTACTAAGGCAATCATTCTATTTAACTTATCTTTATTTTGTCTATTTGATTAATTACTTAATTTGATTAATTATATAATCATTCTATTTATGGATTATGGAATATATATAATTAAAAAATTTTATTTTATTTTAATTTGATTGAAATTTTGAGAAAAAATAAATTAAGGACGAAATTGAAAATAATATTGAAAAGAATGAGTGAAAATTTGAGTTCATGGGGTGTTTTTCAAAGAAAAATTAAAAATAAGAGGTCAAAATGCAAATAGAAAATGTTTGGCCACATAGGATCGCCCAAGTTAGCAGTCTCGACGAACCGGAATGCGTCGCGTGGCCAGGCACGCTGACGTCAGTGCCACACAGGAGGCCACGCTGGCGATCCGCGTGCCCCACGATCGAACAGCCTAGGATCGATCCCAAGCGCGTGGATAGCCTAGATCCCTTTCCACCTTAGGCGTAATCAGACGGTCGAGATTAATCGTGATGAACGGTACAGATTCGTTTTTTTCTTAAGCGTGATTGGACGGATGAGATTGATCGCAACCGACGGCCCAAATCAATGTGGAATGGTTATAAATACTTCACATCACACGAAACCTAAACCCTAGCCGCCAGCCCCAGTCGGAGAAGAAGAACCAAACGTCAGAGAAGGAGGCTGACCGCCGATGGGCACTGCGCCGGAGCTGCCGTCAACCGCAAAAAAAAATAAAATTTTCTCCTACTCGCTTGGAATTTAATTCTGAGTACTACTGTGGCAAAATCGAAGCAAGAAGAACAGTGGGTGAGCCGAAAATCCCGGGCAAAGCCCGATAGAGCCGCCGCGATGCCCCAAAACCTCTCCGATAAGCCCCTTTTCGATTCCTGTTTTACGTAATTATTTTATCATTGTGTTCACCATTATTTTCTGTGCAGGGTAGTCGAAGAAAGAATCTCAACCGCGAAGGAAGACCAGCAGAGCCGTCGCACTCGGAGGTCCCTTTGCCAATAGGTTTGGTTTTCTTTGAGATTTTTTGACCAATCGAGACCTCTAACGTATTGTCTTGATTTTCTGTTTATTTTCCTATACTGTCCTACTTGTTTGATTTTCATATAGTATATGTTCTTAATTTATAGTTTCAATGATTTTATTGATTTATCTAGTTATTTTGGTTATATACCGTCAGCATGAATGTAGTTCAATTGATATGTGATTGTGATATGAGATATTGGTATGTGTTGTTGGTTGTTTATTAATGAAAATTTATATGTGAAAGACTTAATAGGTATCCAGGAAAAAGGCAAACGGGCCCAGTACATAGGGAACCCTACCCTAAACGTTACCTCAGTTGGACAGGGTTAGGAAGTCCCTTACGGAAAAGGTTTGGGAGATATAATTCACCTCATACCGAACAAAGTATCGAGGTGATAGAATGTTTAGTGCCCATTATCAGACGGGGTATGGGGATGGCCGGTTAATTATTAAAATTGGTTATTGAGTTCACGAGTAGGGGGACACCCCTATGTACCCCCAAGGGTACCAGTAAGTAAGTAAGGAAGTAAAATTATTGTTTCTTATTCTCTTATGTGTGAAACTGAAGAGTGATATGGCTATGGGTCTTCATAAGTTATTTTGAAAAATTAGTTACGGTAAGTTAGGAATAAAAAGTCTTCTTTATATTAAATGAATTTACTCAAATTAAGTGCTCCATTAGTTATTTTATAATTTTTATCAAATTTTAATTTTTTATATCTGTGATTAGTATGATATTCCTACCGAGCTAGTGTAGCCCATCCTTTCATTAACTATTTCAGATAAAGAAGACCAAGATCCAAATTCTAATCAGCAAGAGAGTTGCGAGTAGTTCACTATCTAGATTCCATTCAAGTGCTAGTGAAAGTTATCTTAAGATGTTTAGTTATCCGCTTTTCGTTTTATTTCTTCAATTTCTATTTATCTTTTAGAATGGACATTCCCGTAGTCCTATTAGTCATTCTAAATTATTGTGTAAAGAATGTAAACCACAACTCTATTAATCACTTCTGCATTAAATTTATGAATTTATTTTCCTTTTAGTTTTAGGTTCTTACAGTTGGTATCAGAGTCGCATTTATCAAAATCATTTCTTACACAAGACTTAAAAACATATACCAAATGCAAACTATCACTCAACATTTCATTGTAAAATGCAGGTACAAGGAAATGAGGAGAGGAAGACCCCCACTAAATCGAGCAACCAGGGATGGCTTATTTTGATAGAATGTTGACCAACTCATTGAAATGCTGGAGAGACTCATCTTTGCCCAGCAGGCCTAGGAGGAAATGAAGTAGCTACCTAACCCTCCCACGCTGCGACAATTTGAGCCACCATTGCAACGGGAAGAACCGGAGCCACCTCGGTACAACCCTTCTCCTCCACTATACCATCCGCCACCACCACAGTACAATCCAGTGCTTTTACTGCATCATCTAATACTGCCACAATACAGCGCAGTGCCTCTACCATATCATTTGGCACCGCCACAGGGCCACTCGGTCCCCCTCCAACACAATCTAGTTCCTCTTCCACGGGACCCAGTTCCACCCATGATGGACCCAAATTACATTGAAATGTACAAAAGACTAAACTCATCTATCTTTGTAAGTGCAACCTCTTTTGAAGAGGCCGAGTATTAGTTGGCTAAGACAACGAAAACCTTCGCGACTCTTAGGGTTGGTCTTGAATACAAGGTTGTACTTGCCACCTACATGCTTGTAGGAGAGGCAGGTTGCTGGTGGGAGCTTAAGCAGGCCACCATGCCCAATCCAATCACTTGGGAATAGTTCTTGATGGCCTTCAATGCATAGTATCTCCTAGAGCACCTCCGGCATTTGAATAAGATAGAGTTTGCACACCTAATACATGGTGAGATAACTGTGTTGGAGTGTGCCCGAAGGTTCCTAGAATTGGGTCGATATACCCTTAAAAGCATGATGGATGAGGGCAGGAAGACAAAGAAGTTCGAGTAGGGCCTCCGCCCTGAGATCAGACAATAGCTGTGCATATTTGAGTTTAGCACCTACTCAGCCGTTCTGGCCAAG